CCTAGAATCCTGACAGCAGCCCAATGAGGCTGACGGGACTGTTGTTATTGGACAAATGACCCCAAGCTGCTTCCTCTTTGCCTCTGTCATGCTGTTCACGGTGCCTGAACACCCGGTTTTCTCCCTTCCTTCACTCCTTCTGCCCCAGTTAAAGCAGCCTTCAAGGCTCAACCCTCACGCCACACCTTCCCAAAGCTGTTCTTGACCATTTAACCCTTGGAAATTGTTACTTTCTCTCTGTGGTACATTCCCCCAGTATTTATCCCTCTCACAGGAATCTTCTAGAATGGAATTGGAATCACCCCTGCAATTGACTGAGAGTAAGATTAACTTAAGAGTGTTTACTCTTAGTCACTTGACTGACTTAGAGAACCATTAAGGAGTCTTACTCTTAGTAGATGCTCAAATACACCTTATCCCAACAAAGGTGAGGCCACTTCTCACATGGTTTCTGACAGTTTTTATTTTCCTCAGTCACAGCCACCCTGGCAGCGTATCCACTGCAGCGTCAGGGCTACAGGCCAACCTTCTCCTTGCCAGCAGCTCCACCACCGTATTAGGGCCCCCATTCTCAGGTGCTCACTGGTTTCTCCTGTCTGCATCCGCGGACAGCAGCATTCCCTCCAGGCGAAGGGAGGAAAGCCTACCTCAGCCCCCTCTGGAGCTGGCCAGCCAGTGGAGGTGCCCTGGCTTGGAGATGAGCAGAACAGCACTTGCATCCATGCCAGGCCATTTATTCACGAGCTGTTGTTGACCCTCTTCTGAGCTTCCCTTTTCTCCCTCTAACGCGAGGATGATACCTTCCTTCCCAGGGCTGCGGGGAGGCTTAGAGAAGCGAAAGTATCTAAAGGCTCTGCTGGAAGCCTGGCCTCCCAGGGTCAGACTCATTTCTCAGCATCCTCCTAAGCGCATGCTCTAAGGACGATGGAGCCTGGCAAGTGTTTGTCCTTGTTCTTCCCCTGCTCAGTCCTCTCCTTCCTCTAACCGGGGAAAAGGAGCCCCCTGGAGCCCGCCTCTGCCAACAAAACGAAGATCAACCAACCCCCCGAGGATCCTCTGTAGAGGCGCCTGCGGGAGCGGGAGCGCAGTGCCCTCATCACACAGCCAACCTTCAGCCCTGGCTGAGAGCCCTCTGCTGGGGACATTCGGGCACCGTAGGAACCCTGAGACACTTCAGCGTTTATTGGCCTCAAGCGTCTGAAACTATGACGTTTTGGTGGTGGGGGGAAGGGCGTGAGAAAGCACGTGGGTTCTAGAAAAAATCCTTTTTCTGGTTTCTGACCATCCGCCCCTTTTCTGATGTGCCCGGTAGCAGTATCAATAGTTGTCATTTCTAAGAGCTGACCGTCGGATTCCGTGCTAAATGCTTCCCGTGCGTTATTGCATTTAATCCTGCAGATAGCATTACTTCCTCCCTCTCTATAGATGAGGAAACTGTGGCACAGAAAGGGAAGTAA